GGTGAAACGGTCACGACCTGTTAATCGTTTTATGATTGTAGCGGTGTAGCGGTGCTTTTGTTTCCGCTGTAGACACAACGGAACGGTACTTGAAGCCATTGAAATGGGTGATATGAGCTTAAGAACTCAAAAACCCAAAACCCAAATCCCCAACTGAAGTCTGCTTTTCCTTTTGTTTATACTTCAGCAGAGGAAAGAGAGTGAGAGGGGAGGAACTCAATTTTATTTAAATTGTAACACAAAAGGCCCCAAGGCACGGCCAAGTCAATTGCCCCGAAGAACCCGTACCCGTACTCAAACCCTATCCCTATCCCGATCCCGAATCCCGATTTCGATTCCGATTCCTTGCCCCAAACGCAATCCTTATGCGTTATTCATGAGGCAAGAAAACATTGCGATCGCCTGTACCAATTGCCAATTGGTTTGACTTTGAGTTGGCTCTTGGCTCTTTGGCGTTGGCGGTTTTCTGTGCCGGCTTTTGTCAATCTGCGGCTTAGTCCCCGTCCAAGTTGGCATGCTTAAGTGGTTCATTGTCACCCCAGCGCCCAATTAGACACCTGAGTTTATTCCTTTTCCCTCTTTTTTTTTTGTGGTTTGGTTTTTTGGTGATGCATCATGCATGCCACATGTGGCACGTTGTTTTTATTCAATCTGATATATTCATTGCGACCTGATCTTGAATCTCACCTATAAAAGGAGTGTGTTTTGTGGCCAGTTTTTGAGTTAGTGTAACACCCTAGTTTCTAAACTAATCGAATTTCTAATTTAAATAAGTCTTTGGGGACTTGTTTCGTTTCGTTTCTGTGAATTATGTATTTCAAAATAGGTGTTGACACGTTCCGTACATTATTATAAACTTGTTAGTTTGGTATTTAAATTGAATTTTGGCTTAAAATTTATATTTATCATCAAGATAATATTATCTGTGACACTATGACTTATTGTATAATATAATTAATGATCTTTTATACTATCTAATCTTATGCTTATCGATTTTGGGCTTATGCAAATATAAATTAATGATGTTCTTGCCAAAATTGCAATAATCAAATTATTTCTAAACAATTTCATAAACTTCTAATTTATATATCACTTTCATATTAAAAGATTTAACTATTTGTTTTATTTATGCCATACTTTTAAACTCCTTTTTAATCACTTTAATCTACGATAGAATAACTTGGTTTATCTCCCAAAATCTACATTCCATTCTACGCATCTATCAGATACTTTCTCGCCTTTCCTCATGAATATACTTAAAAAGACAAAATACAAAAAAAAAATTTACATATTTAGACTATTTAAAACACTTTGGCTTTGGCTTATGGCAAATGCCCAAGTAGCTCTATAAATAGTAAAAAAGTCTATATATATACATATATCGAAATACATATCTCAGCTAGGCGGCTGCATGGGCAAAATCACAAAAAAAAAAACACACAAAAAAAAAATAGTTCAACATCGTAAATGGAACAAACTTTGTTCCCCGCATGCTATAAATATTTTCGGGAATATACTGAATATTGCCCCGTTTTTTGAAGGTGAACTCTGCAGGATTACATAATGGGGAATGCAGAAACAGGAGCAGGAGCAGCATCCATTCCCTCACGTAGATCGCCAAGCCAAGGCTCGCAAATAATTAAGTATTAGAAATGTTCAGCGGCAGAGAATTCCGTGGAAAATTCAATCACAAAAAAACTAAAACGAAGCTGCAGCAGCAGCATGTTGCAGTTGTTCCCAGCTGAGCCTGGAGGAGCTGCCTTACGTCCCAGACAGGCTGACGTTCGCCTAGAAAGACAGCCGCACTGGAGCCACTGCCAGGGAGGCAGCCAGAGAAAGGGGCAGAGAAAGGAGGAGCATACTCGGGATCCAGAGGCTGCAGCCGATGGCCAACTAACCAATTAGTAAGCGCTGCACAGAACGCGTCTACAATTGTGAGAACCTTAGACCAGGCCAAGCCGGGCCGTGTGAGTATGATGAAATGTCAGCGGGAGCAGGCGATGCAGCAGAGAGCACATGAAGAAAACGAACAAATATCTTTAAAAATATTAATAAATTATACAAGCAAAATATATTAAACTAGCTTAAGATTGTCTACTTTTCATTAATTGCCCAGAGAATCTTAAATCTTTCTTGATATAGAAGAGAAACAAGATAGTACTAAGAAACAAGGGTATCAAATTTTGGTACCAACTTTACGGAATAATCTAGTTTATTGTTTTTAATATAAACATATAATTTATCGTATTATTTAATTTACCATGTAATAAATCAATTTTAATTTTGCCCAAGATTTTTATAGGTTATATTGTACGAGCAACTATGTGTCACTGAATTTTTATTTCAAAATTATAGGAACTTAAATAAAAACTAAAACTTTTGAAGAACCTTCCTTGGCTAGGAAGTGAATAAATAATGCAAAAATCTCTTCAAGTTTTTTCCTCAAGTCACCTTTCAATTTGTGTGTATAAAAGCCCCAAACTTTAGGAATCAATACAAATCTAAAATTAAAATCTTCGAATTTTAATTATAACCTTTTCAATATAATAACGAAAATTATAATTTAAGGTCTTATTAGATACACGATGTAATACATATAATTTCTTAAGCCCCATCAAATACTACCTTTAATCCTGTATCCTTTTCCTTTACAGAGAATCCTTATCCATTTATCCCTCCTTTTTTCCTTTACAAAAGTATCCTTATCCTTTTCTCACAGTGATCTATGGGGGGAAGCAATTGAACCCCAAGACCGGGTGCCCGCTGCGCGTATCGATCCTTATATGAGCCAGAGGCCAGCGGCAAACGTTCTATTTTGACAGTCATTATGATTAATTTAAATCATTAGGCAGCCCGGGCAGGTAGACAAACCATCGCGGAGATGGACGAGCCGCAAGTTCCTATATTTCATTCTAATTAAATGCACGAGGCGGCGGGGCGACATCATCGACATTGGCCATCATCCTGGTCCTGGCAACGGGCTCTAGCTTCTGGCTTGGTCTCGGTCGCGGTCTCGGGACTCGGACCAGACCAGGCTTATTCGCGGAAGAGACAAGCTGGCGACAACGACACCGATGGCTGGAAAAGGCAACAATGACCATTTGCAGCTGGGGGAAAAGTCTCAGTCGCAGTCGCAGCTGCTGCAAGGAATGCATCATCGAGGAGCACAGCTCAGCTCAAGCTGGAGGAGATGGCGATGGCGATGGAGATGGAGATGGAGCCCCCGGGTGAGTGTATCGATGTATCGAAATGTACTCATCCAGCGTTGGCTATATCTTCCAGCTATCTGTTAGTCACTGCACGTGGCCACCCTCTCGCACTGCCCTGCCTTGGCAGAATTTTCTTGCGAACCTCTATTTAAGGACATGGCGAAATACTCGTGCTCCTGTGTACAAGTGGGGCCCACCACGCAAATCCTCTAGAGCATTCTGACCATATTGGCCGAGCTCACAAAAATTCCTGGCATAGTTTAAGTGTATCGCTTTTTGTTTGTCGTCGTTGTCGTTGTGTCTCTCGTGGGGACCTCAAATGTTGTCGATCGATAAAGAAAGGAGAAATATACAACCACAAAAAATAAGAAACAATTACAAATTAAGCTGCTGATAAGCTAACGTTCAAAAATGGCGTACTTTGTGATTACAAAACTCAATCACGAACATTTCATGGGGGAGGAGCTAGCACTTGTTGGGGCTTTTTTTCTTTCCGTTCCGATCTATGCGCATGCGCGACGAATGAGTATGCATATCGCGGGGCGGGGCGTTGCGAGAGATACAGATACAGATACACGCTCTGTCAGATATATCTAATTAATTAAGCCATAAACATAGCCGCCTCTGCAAAATGAAAGACGAAATAATCCCCCCCCCATCCGCGCTTATGTACTCCCCCAGTGGGGAGCGCAGACTGGGGATTGGAAGAAGTCTCTTTGGAGAATTCTCTTTCGCAGAAGAGAGCATGGAAGAGAGAAAACCGGTCCGGGCCAAGTTTGGAATATCGAACGAACGTCGTCGCTGTTTATACACCGCAGTTTATTAGGTGATTGCACGCCATCTGAAGCACAACGCCAGCCATCGATCGCTAGTTTAGCCCTCAGCTCTCTGTATTTTCCGTTTTCCGAATCGTATTTGGAATGAACCACAATAAAATCGCCACAAATAAAGCAAACAGCGGTCCAAACAAGTGCCGCCGAGCGACGACAAATAAGCTAAACTAAATGCAACACATTCGGAGAGCAGCGCCAACAAATATCCAAATATAATTTCTATAATAATAATCGCGCACACGAAAAAAAAAACAAAACAAGCCGAGACCAACGCAGCTGAAAAAGGATTTTCGAGAGACTCAAGCTTAAATTAAACAAAATCAATCAATCAAAATAACTCTTAATCAATCAAGATAAAGGAGACTTAGAATAAAATTCAAAAACTACAAATATAAATCACTAAATCAACAGCAAATTAAATAAATAAATTAATTACAAGATAAACTCTTAAACTCTACATGAACTCCATAAATAATTATTAAATTAAAGCAAAAAGAATTAAATGGTAAAGATTAATGTTCAAAAGTAGGCAGCTTCAGCAGAAACAACAATAAAAGGAAAAATATTATAGAAAATTAAATAAAAACTTCAGAAAGAACTCATAATTCTGTCAAGTAATTACAAAACTATAAAGTAAACTCAAATAAGCTAAAAGATTTCTTAAAAATACAAAAGAAATCAAGGTATTTAAATACAAAAAGGCTATTAAATCAAAAGAAATAAAACAAAAACCTATCAGCATAAAACGCTAAACAAATTAGAACTTTATCTTAAATATAAAGCAATATAAAACACAAAACCAGCCCAAACTAGAAGTGCGACATTAAAAAGCGTAACATTAACAGCTGCAAAAGTCAACGAATGCGAATTCAAATTTGAGCGCCAAAACCACACTGCTTCGCAACACTCGAGCGCTACATCCCTGGTTTCCGCCGCCTCCCAACACTGCAGGACTGTCAGCTGTCAGTTTGCGAGCCGTGTGCGTGTGTGTGTGCGTGTGTGTTGCAAAACGTCGGCGTTGCACTTAAAATTCGCGTTAAATTTTGGTTAAAAAGCGTCCAATTAATTGGTTATCTGGGGGAATAAACCAGGCTGAGCAGTTAGCAGCCCCCCCCAGGCAGAGCCAGCCCAGAGCAGCGGCAGGGAAAACGCCAGCTAGCCAGCCAGCCATCAGCCGAATCGCGTTGTGTGCGCGGTGTGTGTTTTGTGTGTTATTTTTGGAATTAAAGAGCGATCCGATCCGATCCGAGGCAGCGCGCAGGAAGGTGGCGGCTGGGAAAGTGTGCCGCGGCCGGATCTACTCTCACAGCTACCGAAAAGGTAGCAATAATAGACGCGCGCGGTGCCTTGGATTTCTACGGCTCCACGGTGGAGAACTTTTACCTCAGAATGGATCCGACGCGGGGCGACTCGCGCTACAACCTGAACTACTCGATGAGTAGTATCGGGCTGAGCCTCTCCGATCCCTCGGACATGTACGGCAACCCGGCGGTGGCCGCCCTGGGCGCCCGCCCGCCCTCCGGCGGCCTACTCCAAAGCATGGGCGGCGGCGCAAGCGGCGGTGTACCGTCCATGCAGCGGCCAAATCCCGCTACCGGAGCCACAGCCGCCCAGTGCCAGACCCTACACAGCCCCCAGCACGCCTCCCAACAGCAGCAGCAGCAGCAGCAACAGCAACAACAGCAGCAGCAGCAGCAACACCAACAGCAGCAGCAGCAACAACAGCAGCAACAGCAACATCGCGGCCTAAAGCGATCGGGAAGCGATTGCTATGAGGATCACCATCGATCCGCCGGCGGACTGACGCTCCAGGGACTCGATAGCGTCGCCAGCAGCGCCGGCGGCGTCGAGGACAACGTGGATGGCTATAACCCGCTGCCCAACAAGAAGTCACCGCCCGCCAACGGCAAGAAGACAAAGGGACGTGTCAAAATCAAAATGGAATACATCGACAACAAGCTGCGTCGCTACACGACCTTCTCCAAGCGCAAGACGGGCATCATGAAGAAGGTAAGTTCCCTAAGATCCCAGATCCCCATACCCATATTGACCACGATTGGGCCTGCAATTGGGATGTTGACATTGGGCCACGTTTCCAGCGCATGTGCAATTAATAAATGCTTGGCTTAGACTTTGTCGGAGTCCAAAGCTCCTTGGGAGGAGGAGCAGTGCTTCTGGCATTGTTCTCTGACTCTCTCCTAGGCTCCACGGAGAGCGTTGCTTTATCGTCATGTGGCCATCGAGCACAGTGGGTTCAGTTTCCAAGGGGGTTCCAATAGGAAAAAGCATAGGAAAGAATAGTTATTAGTTATCTTATCTTTTTGTTGTAAACCCTTGACTTGCCATTGGAAAATTACTAAGTTTAATAAAACTGATGGACTTCAGTACATATCATTAGAGAGAGCTTCTTTTACAATAATTAAGAGACGATTTTAAAGTGAATTTACATTAAAGTAGATCAAACATTATTGGTTTTTATCATAGGATAACCAATTTCGAGAAATATATATTTAATACAATTCAAGAAAGAAACCTTAGCAAACATATAAATTAGTTTTTCACCCTGTAAAACTCTTCTTCAGAATACATTATTTTTATTAGACAATCTCTCTCTTTCAACATGCTCTATATAATTGTAAAGCGGACAATAAGAAACCCATTTTTAAGTCCAATACAGTCTACATTAAGAGGTCGTTATGATAAAGAACATGTATTCTATAATACCGAACCACTGTACCCTGTAAAGTTCCCTCGCTCTAGAACAGTAGCCACAAAGATCCTCCTTGGCTTTTCGGCCGAATCCCGTCTGCCGGGTTGACTTTGGCTCTTTGGCGGCGTTGTGTGTAAGCACGGTAGCCCACGATTCCGCATTTCCCTTTGTTTTCGGCTTCATAAAATGTTAATTTGCCGCCGCAATTGCATTCAAAGGAGGCCTACCAGTTAGTACCAGTCCACCCATTGCCAATTCCCAGTTTCCAATCCCAATACCTCCCTCCCAGCAATTGATGCGTGCTCCGTGCTCCTGGCTCTCGATGCAATGCGGCCTCCAGTGCTTTGGTATTTTCAAATGACCAATTTTCACACGCAAACTTACATAATGCCACTGCATTTGCTCTCCTGCTCCTGCTTTTGCTCCTGCTGCTTTCCATCGATCTGGCGGCTGCATATGAAATTTTTCACATTTTTTAAATAGACCTTTTCTGGTCGCAGCACAAAACCAAGCCCGCGATCAAAATCAGACAAAAAGCATCAACATCGCGGCGCTAAATCACGATCTCAGCACGATCTTTGGCCAAGACACAAAATCTTATGAAATATTTGACCCAAGCAAGCCAAAAACAACCAATATGTTGTAGGAGCTTTAAAAAAAAAATATGTACAAAATATTTAAGAAACTGAATTAGGAAATACTCCGAAAAAGTATTAGTTTAAATAGGTTTTAAAGTATTTTCATTCTCCATACTTGTCTAGTTAAGACTTTCCTGAGATATTAAGAAGTATAAGTAAAAATCGTAGGAAGTAACGTCAAAACTTTACTTCACTTTGTACCAACTAAAAGATCTCCCTATATCCCCATTTCCAAAAGGGTATCCATAATATTTGACCCCTGGGACGACAAAGGTTCTCCTCCTTGCCTGTTCTCGGGGGCCAAAGTTATGACAGGCGCACGCTTCGAGACAAAATCCCGCTTCTATATATGCGTCCCTTAAAAAAAAAAATACAAAACAAAAAATATATATATATACATGTATCGTTTTGGGTGACTTTGATGCGGTCCCTCATCGATGTCCAGCCGGCGGACAGTTGACAGGCAGACAATGGGATCGCGACTTGGCGCTACCAGCAGCGGCTGGAGCAAAAAGCGAAATGGCAATCTGCAATCCGCCATCCGCCATGAGCAAATCCCTAGCAGCAGCAGCAGCAGCAGCCAACAAATTGCGGCCAATGAACTTGGCCCAGAGAGTGGTCACAGCGACAACCTGTTGGCATGCTTTCCCGCTGGCCAATTTTGGTCATTTCGATCCGATGCCGGAGCACAGATCTTATGGCGTGGGCGGTTGTAGTAGGGTGGCCAAAAAAGGTCACAAAAGTGAAAAGTGAGCTAATGTCCAGATCAGAAGTGATCTCATTTGTTGGCCAGCCTAATTGCGTGGGCTCCATTGGATCGATACGATACATTTGAACGGCAGCGAAAGCGCTCCTGCATAATGCACAAAACAAGCCCATCGACAAGTTCCCAAACAATTGTTGGCCATGGCCAAAAGGGTGCAGGCATGGAGGCACAGGCGTAAAATGCCGCCAAAAGGTGTTAAATTGAAATCACGAGGCAGCGAGCTTGGCTTTGGCTTTGGCTTTGGCTTGGGAATTGTTTTCGGGGCAGCACGGAAGCTTCAGCTTCACCATCGGCGGCAGATTGTGCCCAGATAAGCCCCCTAAAGCCGGCCCAGAGAGGCTCCTCCATGGCTGGGCCGTGTCGGCTTGCCTTTTGGCCGCATGCAACACATGCAACACTGCAGGCAGAAGGCAGGCTGCCTACAAAACAGGCAACAATCGGCTTCTAACAAATGACTCTCCATCTGGCCCAAGCAACAGTCTCTGGGGCTGTGCCTTCTTGTCCTGTCAACACGCTTGCCCTCACCCTTACCTCACCCTTAAGCAATCCTCGCCAGTGTCGTGTCCTTTTGTCTTTGTTCGAAATTCAAATTGACATGAATTGTTGGTCTGTTTCGGGTCCCTGGGATGTTCGGTACCTAGGGCTCGGCTCACATACAATCGACACCTACTCAGGAATCGTTGGAATCGAAATCGAAATCCGATTCAGATTCAGATTCCGCTTTCGGACCGTGTCAATTGTTTGCATTTACACATGTTACACATAAAATTGGCAGCCAATCGATGTGTCCATGGGATGGGGCCATAAAGCCCCCCAACCCAATCGAAACCAATCCGATCCGTGGCGATCCCAATCCGAATCCCCATCCAGAGGTTCGCCAACAATGTGTACAACAATTTCATTAATATTAATAAATGTTCCCGAAGCGTTCGCTTCTTGCCAGTTATTTATGCGCTCTGCCTGCTCCATGGTGGAGTAAACTCTTGTTGCCCGCCAGGCAGTAAGCCAGACAGCGACTTTATCGCTTTTATAGTAATTACGAGCTGTTGATAGGCAGCTTAGGCTACCGTCTAATGTGCAGCAAACACTGGGTCTCCTAGGTGTTATCCCGAGCATGGAGAGCTCCATCCATCGCGATGGTTGCGTGACTTCTGTCCCGATTTGCGTGGGTGAAATGTAGGGTTTGACTTGCAGACTTTTGCCTGGGCAAAAAAGGCACACACGAAATGGTATAGTTGCCTTTATTGGGTGATTAAGCTTGTTTTACAAATCATATATGTATGTACTTATATATATATCAATTGTTGTGGCGCCGAAAAGATGAAAAGTAGGGCAATAATATTATGTTGGCAGAAATAGAAACAAAAAAGTCTCGATTTAGTGTAGATCATATATACTTATTCAGGCTAATATGTCGCTTTCTAGGTTTGCTTTATTCAATTTCAACTGAATCACCTGAATACTTAATTATAGAACAGAAAACCTAGCCGTTCATATATGAATATATTTATTTATAACATTTATTTTAGTTATTTTGGCATTAGTAAATAAACTTAAAGGGGGTGTATTTAGTTCTAGAATGTTTTATATAAATAGTTTGTTTGGCTTGAGGTTTTTATGACACTTTTTAAATGCTTTTTAGAGCTCCTATTCTAAGATTTTACTCTCTGGTTCCATTTTGATCTACAAAACTCTTCTTTAAAGCTTACCCTACCTTGCAGTGTTAACTTAACCCTCTTTAAGTCACGCTCCCATCTCTGGTAATTTAAAATCCAAGCGGTCCACGCTTAGGCTCCTCTCCTTATCGCCTCAACATAATCGCATAGTTTGGTGGGTAAATTTATGTGCCGCTTGGCCAACACACGCGTCTACAGTTTCCCCAGCCAGATACCCACTCCTGATACCGATACCAAACCGATACCATCGAGTACTTAACACGATCCTCTTTGCATCTCTCCCTCTCTTTGCAGGCCTACGAGCTATCCACGTTGACCGGAACGCAGGTGATGCTGCTGGTGGCCAGTGAAACGGGCCACGTGTACACATTTGCCACGCGCAAGCTCCAGCCGATGATCACCTCGGAGGCGGGCAAACAGCTCATCCAGACCTGCCTTAACTCACCGGATCCGCCCAGCGTCGGTGGCGGCGATCAACGGATGTCGGCCACCGGCTTTGAGGAGACGGAGCTTAGCTACAACATCGCCGATGAGGACTCCAAAGTAAGACAATTGATTTACGGTCACCATGGGCACGCTCATCTGGCACACCCGCCGGCACCGCCCTCGCACTACAGCCTCGAGCAGAGTCTGATGCAGTCCGGGTATAGTGGCGGCCAGGCGTCACCATTGTCCCACGCCCAGGCCTACGGTGGACATGCGCATCATGCGCATGTGCCGCACGTGCCGCCGCCGCATTCGACGCACTCGCACATGTCCCACACGCATGCGCAGCGCTAAATCCGGACAAGATCCGTGATCCTCGTATTTCTCTAGGCAATATCTGGGACTTGGTTTTTGGCGGACAGCCTGCTAAAGGGTTCTCAGTTCCTTAATCCTAACTAGACTCGATAACATTCCAGATGATTTTCCTCATTAGAAATTATAAATCTTTACTTAAAGATCAATATAAGACATGTAATTCAGTTAAAAAAGCTCAAAAAGACATCTTTGAAAGTAAAACCCAGGCTACAAGCAACTTCTATCTTCATAAACATTGCCAAACCTCTTAATTGGTGTTTTTAGTTAAAGAATAAAAAAACAATGTCAAAACTTAAACCACACCTCAGTGCTGTTCCGCAAAAACCAAGCCAGTTTTTTTAATAGTTAGACAGCAGTTTATATATGTTTAGCAGATCCAAAGTGCAGCAAATGGCTCGATCGAACTTCGATACTCGTATTTCGGATCCATGGCCAATACGATCTCGCCGCTCGTTTTGTTCTTGTTTACCGACCGCAGTGTTTTGTGTTTATAAATGTATTTTATTTTATTTTTTTTTATTTTTGTATACTAGTCAAGACTCTTACTTAAAGGCGACTGTGCCATATCAAAGCTACAGCTCAGCTCCTCCATGTACATCACAATAGCAATAGATCAATTGTCGCATCAGCTGCAGCTCCTAAAACCCAGTGCCATTCTACCGAACCGAACTAGAGACGGACACATATCGAGACACAGCCGAGACTGCTTTAGTTAGTCCTTTTTTATTACCGAGTATAAGTGCAATAACATAGGAAAAGAGAAGAGTCAGAGGAACCAACCACTAGAACTAGGGGAAAACTTTCCCTTCCGTAAAGTTTAAAGATTTGCTGGACAGAGTCTAAATGGGTAAACAGCTCGACGAGTGTGCTGCGTTTACAATACATAGTTAACAAAGTTTGATATGTTTAGTAAATAAATAAAATAAATACAAATGTCGAATGCGCCGGCGGCCATTTTCCAATTTTCCTGATGTCCCGGGTCCCATGTCTGTGAGTGTGTGTGTGTGTATTTGCGAGTGTGATGAGCGTGCTCAATAAAGTTTAAGCGTATTTTCCGGACTCGTTTAGCCTAATGTTAGTAGTTTATACTTTACGACTTTATAGTTATGTTTATTTTGATTGATCCCGCCCCTAAAATTGGCTTTATAGTATTTTCCATTGACCTCTACTAATTGGAATGTTGCATGGTGAAAATTGAATATTTTATTTAACTGATTATTTCGTGCAACATGTCCGCCACTTACTCAACTTTGAGCTGTTTGCTTTACGAATCTTTCTACTAATATTTATTGTACATTTAAATTTAAAATACCAAATTAAAAAACAGCTCAAGTTAAATTTAATTTATTACTCTCTCTCACACAATTATTTAATATTAAATACCGATCACATTTCTGTCAAACAGAGAGCAAAAAGCAACGTAATTCTCTTAATACTAGTTAAATTTATTATTTAATGGATCGTGCAATGCGCCGAAGCAATAACCCTAAAGCAATTTACCCCATAAGCGATCAAGAATATGTTTAAAAAACAACAAAAACCACAAAATAGTATCTACACAAGAAGTATATAAATATATATATTATTTAGCGCAATATTATAAAATAATAAACAGAAAACAACAAAAACTTGATATCAAGGAATGTATGTAAAAGCTGTTTCAAGAGCAAGGTTAAGAGCATTTAGATAAACCCGAAAACCCAGACTCCAAAACTTGGAAACCAAGTCCAACTTTTGCTATTACTTAGCCTACACACCATCGCCGAAAATCTGCGAGTGGGCTGCAACTCCTCTATGAATGAATTTCTGTGTGCCGATCTTTTCTGCGTTTTTCCTCTCCAAGTTTTGTAAAGAGCTTCCGCTTCCACAATCGTAGAGTTCGAGTGACGTCACGTCGACGAGTTCATAAATCGATCAGAGCCACCATGGGGACCCTCTCGTCATGCACCAACAGCCAGTCAGTCAGTCAGTCAGTCGAGACTCCCCAACCTCTTCCTCCGCCACTTTGGCTTGGCATGCAAATCGCGTTTTCTGGCTCGTACTTTTCAATGCCAAAAGCCTCTCGGCGTAGGCACACACACTCATGGGTTGGCTTCCACTGCCCCGATGACGTGTGCCAGCCAGCAATGATCTCCGGTCTCCGGTCTCCGGTCTCCACCGAAACCCTCTCATTCGGTGGCTCCAACTCAGCAGCTGAGCAGTTCAGCATTTTCCATTCAGCTTGGGACGATGAATGAACGCCAAAATGTTGTGGGTGTGACACCAACGCCGGCTCAGGTCATCAGTTGTTTTTGTTGTCTACACACAAAGAAAATTATGGTAATTTTTTAGACTCATTTAAAGGCAATATTTCATGGGATATTTGTCATAACTTGATGATTTTTTGGGGTCTTTATGGGAATAGAAATTTGAACAAATGAAATTGTTTCTGTAATATTATTATGAGAGTTTTGAAAATAATAAATAATAATTTATCATAAAGAAGTAATGCCTATACAAAGTTATTCAAAAATGTAAAATTCATTCAAAAACTTCAGTTAAAGTTTGATAGACTTAAACATTTAGTTTCCAAGTTTTACACTTGCAATTTTTGTAATGAAAAATCTATAGAAAAACTTGATTTTCTTTATTTCCAACTATTTTCTTTATGTGTAACTGCTGGCTGACTGCCAGCTGAGAGTTGACTGATAAAATTCATAACTTGTACCGCTGCTGCTGTAGGTCGTTCCGCGCGCCGCCAACTCTTTGTCCAGCCAAGGTTAATTGCCAACTTGCAGTGGGCCGAGAGCTCAGCTGCTGTTTCGCAGTTGGCCAACACACAAATTTGCTATCTGGCTGGTTAGCATTATGTGTACGTTATATATCAGCATCGAGAGTACGATCCATCGATCTGCGCGGGTGTCTTGGCTACATAGATTACCTTCTATGGTCGCTCACCTGCGCATCATCATCATCATCCCAAGACGCCCACGTGGCTCAGCCAATAAAAAAATAAATAATATAAATAAAACACTGCAAGTTTGTTGGCTTTTATGATTTTGAATTTATTTCAAAATTGTATTTGTTTTGCGTGCTTAGTTTTTGAGAGATTTGAAATTACAGAATGTGTTTATTGGTTTATTCGTTTATTACTTTTCTTAAATCTGAACTCATTTACTTGGGAATCATATTAATACGTAGTCATCGTTGATTAGGCAAAGTTTTGCTGATTTTTCAGTAAAGAAAAGTATTTCTACTTATATAAAGGAATGTATAGTATATATTTTGGTAGGTTTTAAAATCAAAATTCCAGATAAAATTCCAGTAAGAAGCTTCGCTTAAGTTTATCTTGGTATATGCTTCTACAAACCCTTTACAGAATTTTAGGTAAATATATTATAAATAGTTTCCTTTAAAATATGGTTTCCTGAATGTATATAAAAAACTAGTTTCATTTCCATATAAAATGATGAATTGAGACTTTTCTTAAACTTCTTCCAAATTAAAACTGAAACTCTTTAGCTTTTTATAGCTTTGGCTGTACTTCTCAGATACCTTCCTCCTTGTTTCTCGGCTCCCACCTAAAAAGTGAAATAAAAACCAACCTAGATTGAACCTCTGGCCCTGTTTTTCTTCTCCTGCGAAGAGTGGGAGCCTTGGTGCATATCAGTTTGAGAAATTAAAAGCATTTTGCGGTTTCGTTGACTATCGAAGCTGCGTGCCGCTCGAGCCTCTAACGACATTTCAATGATTTGCTGCTCCGGCTCCTGGTCCCGCTGCTGTTCCTTCTCCAGCTCCTGCTCCTGCTCCTGCTCCCTGACCGGCTTCTGCTCCTACTAGAGGGGGGTTGTGGCCACGTGCGCAGCACAAGACGCAGTTGCAGACGCAGATGCAGGAGGACAAAAGCATTTGCAATGCTCGTCGATTACGTACGAGGGCGACCTCTGTCAGCCAGCAGCAGTCGGAGCAGCACCGTCCAGATGTCCACATGTCCAGCTGTCCGAAAGCCACCAACAACGCAGCCACGCAAAGAATCTTTTGGCCAGTTTGCGGATTTTGTGTTTAAGCCGCCGCTTCAAGTTCTAACCGCATGCCGCCACAATGTCCTCTTAATTTCCTAGTCGCCGCAGCAGCTGCGCGCGCGTTCACCACGCGATGATATCGCCGTGGATCCTCCTCCTGCCAAGAGACTCCAGACTCCAGTCAGGTCCCTCCGAACCCAACCTCTTTCCCAGTCTCTTTGCCCCATTCCCGGCCAGCAGCCGTCGTCCTCCGTCTGTGTGCGCTCGTTTTTTAATTCAACTGATTGTACTGCAGCTTCTGGAATTCGGCATTTCTTAAAGCCTGCGCGGCACACACATTGTGAGTCGGCAAACTTCTGGCGACCGATCGGCCACTGGGCAAACTTGCAACTGGCAACTGGCAACCGGCAACTTGCAACCAGCAACAACTCCTGCTGCTACTCCTGCCGCTTCTGCGCCGCCTTCGCAATCTGAAAAGGTTAAGAAATGACAATTTGTGAGCGCTTTTTTCTTTGGTTTCGTTTGGTTTTTGTTTTATTTTACCCTTTTATTCCCTGTGTATTGTGTTTTATTTATTTTTGTTTGTGACCAGGACAGGCCCGCTTTCATTGTGATTATTTAAAAGCCAGTCTGAGGGACCTTAACGAGGCGCTTTCGGCCTTTCAGGACTCACATTTAGTTAAGCAATTATTGGCCGCAATGCAAACAAATAATGCGTACATTGTGCCTGTTCGGTTCTAC